TTTCAAACAAACTTCTTTCACGTTGTCATTATGGGGTGTTGTTTGTAGAATTTTAAGGAAAATAATGAATTGAATCCATTTTGTAAATAAGGCTGTAACATAACAACATGTGGGAACAGTGAAGCTCTGTGAATACTCTCCGGATGCAGTGTGTGTGTGTGTGTTTGTGTGTGTGTGTGTGTGTGTGTGTATATACAGTGGTGTGAAAAAGTGTTTGCCCCCTTCCTCATTTCCTGTTCCTTTGCATGTTTGTCACACTTAAGTGTTTCGGAACATCAAACCAATTTAAACAATAGTCAAGGACAAAACAAGTAAACACAAAATGCAATTTGTAAATGAAGGTGTTTATTATTAAAGGTGAAAAAAAATCCAAACCATCATGGCCCTGTGTGAAAAAGTGATTGCCCCCCTTGTTAAAACATACTATAACTGTGGTTGTCCACACCTGAGTTCAATTTCTCTAGCCACACCCAGGCCTGATTATTGCCACAGCTGTTCACAATCAAGGCATCACTTAAATAGGAGCTGCTTGACACAGTAAGGTCCACCAGAAGATCCTTAAAAGCTACACATCATGCCAAGACCCAAAGAAATTCAGGAACAATTGAGAAAGAAAGTAATTGAGATCTATCAGTCTGGAAAGGGTTATAAAGCCATTTCCAAAGCTTTGGGAATCCAGCGAACCACAGTGAGAGCCATTATCCACAAATGGCGAAGACATGGAACAGTGGTGAACCTTCCCAGGAGTGGCCGGCCGCCCAAAAATTACCCCAAGAGCGCGAGCGACTCATCCAAGAGGTCACAAAAGACCCCACAACAACGTCCAAAGAACTGCAGGCCTCACTTGCCTCAGTTAAGGTCAGCGTTCATGCCTCCACCATCAGGAAAAGACTGGGCAAAAATGGCCTGCATGGCAGAGTTCCAAGGAGAAAACCACTGCTGAGCAAAAAGAACATCAAAGCTCGTCTCAATTTCTCCACAACACATCTTGATGATCCCCAAGACTTTTGGGACAACATTCTGTGGACCGATGAGACAAAAGTGGAACTCTTTGGAAGGTGTGTGTCCAAGTATATCTGGCGTAGAAGGAACACTGCATTTCATAAAAAGAACATTATACCAACAGTAAAATATGGTGGTGGTAGTGTGATGGTCTAGGGCTGTTTTGCTGCTTCAGGGCCCTGGAAGACTTGCTGTGATAAAAGGAACTATGAATTCTGCTGTCTACCAAGAGATCCTGAAGGAGAATGTCCGACCATCTGTTCGGTGTACTCAAGCTGAAACGAACTTGGGTTCTGCAGCAGGACAATGATCCTAAACACACCAGCAAGTCCACCACCGAATGGCTGAAGAAAAACAAAATGAAGACTTTGGAGTGGCCTAGCCAAAGTCCTGACCTGAATCCTATTGAGATGTTGTGGTATGACCTTAAAAAGGCCGTTCATGCTCGAAAACCCTCTAATGTAACTGAATTAGGACAATTCTGCAAAGATGAGTGGGCCAAAATTCCTCCAGGACGCTGTAAAAGCCTCATTGCACGTTATCGCAAACGCTTGGTTGCAGTTGTTGCTGCTAAGGGTGGCCCAACCAGTTATTAGGTTTAGGGGCAATCACTTTTCAGGCACACGCTATGGTTTAGATTTTTTCACCTTTAATAATAAACACCTTCATTTACAAATTGCATTTTGTGTTTACTTGTGTTGTCCTTGACTATTGTTTAAATTGGTTTGATGTTCCGAAACACTTAAGTGTGACAAACATGCAAAGGAACAGGAAATGAGGAAGGGGGCAAACACTTTTTCACACCACTGTATATCTGTAGACCTGTATGTTAGTTTTACTTAACACTGATTCAGCTAGAGTAATAAGTAACAGCTGCTCCTGATGATAATATCTGTGATTTGTAATGATATAAAATAAGCTGGAAAGTCTAATCAGTGTCGAATTCCCTGTAATACACTCTTTCAGAGCAGAACGATGTCCTTCAGTGACAGTTCCATCTCTCTTATTCCTCATGGGTCCTTATCAGGAGCCACTCTGCGCTGTACACTTCACACGTTAGACGTGGACGTAACAGAGAGTCGTTGCCCTCCAGTGGATCGAGAACAGAAGCACATCCATCCAGTCTGGGGATGAAAACATCAATCAGAAGAAGGACGAGAAGACAGAACAGGTGAGGACAAGTTTCCCGTAGAAACTTCCCCGTCTTTGCATTTAATCTTCATGAGAATGATGCAGCTCGTTTCACCCCTGCTCGTTCTCGGGTGCCCGGCGTGTGTTCAACACCTGGTCCGGAGAGAAGAGGAGAAGATAGAAAACAGATGGAGTGAAAATAGAAAGAAGGACTCGATTCTCTGCATCGCACATTAAATCTTATGCCGTCTCTCTTATTCGATCTCTTGCAGTTCATCCAGTCTTCATTTACAGCTCAGTCCGATCTGACACGGTTTGTAATCTGTATAAGCGCTAACACTGGAGACTCCTTCCATGAAGGTTTAATCAACGTCTCCTTACACAAAACGTCAGCATGAGAACTTTTTGGTTGAACCCGTCCACCATAAGTCCCTGTGAATGAGCTGTTACTATAGAAACGATAATGTTTTAGAACGAGTGCGTTCATATACTGTAAACCTGAGATTTGCAGCTGCGCTACTGTCAGAGCTGCTCTTATAGAAAACGACTCGGCACCTTCTGACCAATCAGAATCCAGAATTTAACATCTGCCTGATCTTTATTCCCCTCCTGTCAGTATTTCATACAAGTTACACTTCCCCTGTAATCATTAGCCCGTAATCGCCTTTCTATCCGCCGCCGGTCGAATGTTCAGCACGTACACGTCTCCGACAAGTTCGGATTTTGGAACGAGTCCAAAGACGAGAACAAGACGTGAGCTGCCTGTGTTTTGTTTTTGTAGACGCTCCCAAGAAAACCTGGAAGTCGTAGGCGCTTTGTAGTCTCACCGACAACGGGCTCGCGGTACACGATTGAGATTTTTCGAAAAAAAAAATAGAATCCCACAATTCCCAGAAGATGGTGGAATTCCTGGTTCTCGATCGTTATTTGGTAAAAGATCAAAGTGACGGTCAGAAGTGTTTTAATAGTGCAGCGTTTCCACCCACTGACCCGGGTTCAGCTGAATTTAAACATTTACTAACATGCTCTTATTTGTGTGAACGTATTCTAGACATGGAGGCAGTAAACATGCGCTCATTATTTAGTTTGTAGTTTAAACAATCTGTTAATACATGGGTTGTTGCCTTGTTCATATTATTTATTAACGTAAACGTGTCAGTCGTCAGAACTTTTTGTCTGAGGGATGTTAATTTTACAGAAAATATCCATAAATATATAAATAGATATCCACAAATATACACATAATATCCATATTTTGTTTTTGTTTAAAATGTAGAATATTACAACTATTATCTTTTTCAATTATTATTCATTAGGCTATATTAAATGATTTTATATGTTTTAGTTATATAGTTATATGATTTTTTGCCCTAATTTAAGTATAAATTATTGAAATTACATTTAATATTTCTTAATCATCATCATTATTATTATTATTATTATTATTATTATTATTATTATTATTATTATTATTATTATTATTATTATATCATTATTTGTATTATTTAATCATGATTATAAGTTCAAAATTACGTATTGCATGCTGACATTGAGTGTTTTTACTGAGGTTACTAAACCTAAACCAACAGGACAAAAGATTAAGCTTCTGATTGAGGTAGAGATGTGATGAAGAGAGAGAGAGAGAGAGAGAGAGAGAGAGAGAGACAGATTTAGTGAAGGAGGCAGAGAATCAAGCTGCCTTTATTAATCTGTGTATTTCCCCAGATGACGCAAAGAACTTGACTCCGTCCTCTCTCTCTCTCTCTCTCTCTCTCTCTCTTTCTCATCTTTCGTTAGCGTGTCTCTCCTGATGGTGTGGTCTCTATGGGCGAGAAACAGCAACAGAACACAGGTAAGCCTCAAACTGAGCTCCTGAACTTTCGAACCCGTTGCCTAATCTTTCTCATTCCTCACTTTCCTCCTTCTGTGTGCTCTGATTTAGCCTTCACTCATGCTATCCAAAGCTCCAACGATTATTTTTAAAGTTTCGGCTGCACGCCAACATCGTTATAATGCATCTCCTGGCAGGACTCAGCTCGGACAGGAGCAGTGTGTAGCGTGAGGACCGGTGCGCTCTGTGTGTCCATCTTTATTATACACCTGAGATCCTCGTGCTCTCGAGAAGGCCGAAGCCTAGGTGAGTCAGTGGCGGGTTCCTTTTAGTCAGCGTTGTTTAACTGATGACAGATAATTTAGAGAGCCCAGATTAGAGTGCTGCTAGAAGTGTGACTCAAAGAGCAGCTATTCAAACCCCCACCACACACACACACACACACACACACATCACTGAGTAAGTATGTGATGTAGTAGACAAGTCGGATGTGGGAGTTACAGTTTAAACAAGATGCTTAAAGTACTGCATTTTTAGGTTCAATACAATTTAAGTGCTGGAAAAATCCTGAAATGACCCGTCTTAATACCACAACGCTGTTTAAATCTGATCTGTCCGAAGACGTTGATTAATAATCAGCGGATCTAATAGAAGCAGCTGAAAATCACAGGTTTATGTAAATGCACTCGTTCTGCTCTGTGCTCGGAACACCTGTATTGTGGAGTCCAGAATATCTAAAGTTCATAAAAAGATTTAAAAAAAAACATATTTTCATGAATATGGTGAAGTTTTCTGTGAGGGATGTTTATTTACATCTATGGAAGGAGTCTCCAGTGTCAGAGCTTTGTAACATTCAGGGGTAAATGCATTCTTTTAGTCTTATTAACTTCAAGAGAGAGAAAGAGTGAGGCTGGTGAGGGAACAACTGTTTATAGTTGCTGTCATGTTAGTGAGAACAGAAACTTTTCTCAAGAATGTTCCATAACATTAAATGTAACTATAAACTGATAAAAAGTAAGTAAGTAAAAGTAGGGGGGGCATGGTGGCGTAGTGGTTAGCATGTTTTCCTCACACCTTCAGGGTTGAGGGTTTGATTCCCGTTGCTGCCCTGTTTGTGCGGAGGTTGCATGTTCTCCCCATGCCTTGGGCATTTCCTCTGGGTACTCCGGTTTCCTTCCCCAGTCCAAAGACATGTATTCGCAGGTCCAAAGTGTCCGTAGTGTGTGATTGTGCCCTGTGATGGACTGGCACCTTGTCCAGGGCTGTGTACGCATGTTTTACTGTACGTAGAATGAAATGGTAGGTGGTGAAACCAAAATTAAGGAAAAAAATAAAAATAAAGAAAAGATAAAGGAAAAAAAAAAAAAAAAAAAATCTTGTAAGGATAGGGTAGGTTACCTGACATGTTTTTAAGGAAGTGAATGGATGGATGGATGGATCATTGGCAATTGTGTGTAAATTTTTTTTTTTTAAAACACCCTTTAGAAAAAAAAAGAAGGGGGGGGGCACAAAAAAAAAAAAAAATTTTTTTTTTTTTTTTTTTTTTTCCCCCCATCTGTTAACTACATTTAACGTTTAAAAGCTGGTGGACCAGCTTACAAAATATATAAATTTCTTATATTTTTTATATATGAACTGAAAGAATTTTTTTTTTTTTTTTTCCTCAATTTCTCAGTGGATAGTAATAAACATAAGATCTCCCGAAGAAAAGGATTATGTAATAAGGATGTGGAAGTGTGCTGGAAGGGGCGGACTGTGATAGACAGTGTGATTATTTACAATTAAAATTATATTATATAGGTAAATAAGTATATGATATTAAATTATATTAATAATATTGATCATGATCACATGGCTGGTGCTAGAACCACAGATCTACATAGGATCAGGTATTCTCCTTTCAGTTTGAGGGAAAATTTGAGGCTTTCTGTACCTACGTTTCCAAGCAACTCGGAAGGCACCACACAGTGTCAGATCTAGAAGGCCGTCCCACCAATAATGCCATTCCAAGTATCTCCATCATTCCCAACATAAGCAGTGAAGCACTGTAGTGTTAGAATACCCTTTTGAACACCTGCTACACTTTTCTTTTCTTTTCTTCATGAAAGCTAAAGTGTCTCCAAAATTCTGTCTGGTGCATATGCACAAACAACAGCCAGGGTTTTTCTTCCTGAGACTTGAAACCTCACGGAGCCAACCCTCTTGTCCACTTAGAAAGACACCACCCTCAATTTAAGAATGGTGAGCATCCCCAACCCAAGGTCTATATCTTTTAGGAACTCTGGAGAAAGAGAGAGACCACCCCGACTGAGAAGTTTGGTACTGGAGCCTCTACAATGTGTGAATACAAGGTCATAAATATGTAGTCCATGCCTTTCCGGACTATAGTAATCCAGTTTCTATTACAAAGTCTATTCCATGTAAAACTGTCCATCAAATCCCTGGACTGGTATTGTACCTGTCCTCTTCCCTTCATCTTGCAAATGGTAAGTCCAATAGATCACCTCTGGACAATACCTTCGGCCTGCTCCAGGGATGAGTCTCTGTACCATGGTCAAGGTGCACATAATCACCTCCAAGATTTCTGATCTGTTCACCAAGGGTGGCCCTACTGGTAATACTAAACTTCTCGTCACATAGACCTTAAGTTCACCGAATTACAAAAGCTTTTTTTTTTTTTTAACCATAACAAAGGCTCGATCTACAAAGGGAATTAAAATGAATTGATTTATTTTATACATGTTTAGTTTAACCACTCCTTAAATGCTGTTTATTGCTCACAATTCCGCAAACCAAACTAGCTATATTGTTAACATTAGCTGTTCACCGAACCAGTACATTTTCTCTAAAATCAGGACCAATCATAAGCAGCAGATTTTTTCCTCCACCCTCAGAAAGAAAATAGCTCCAATATTTAAGAAAGGAGATGAATAATTTTTGAATCATGAGGGCCAGTGTTCTCTCTGCTCTTTGTTAAAGGAAGGGGTTTAATGGATTATAACTCTATCCTGTCACAAAGCTCACACCAAACAATCAACAGCAGAAAATGATAATCCTACAGCACACACATACACTCTCTCTCTCTTACTCTCTCTCACTTTTGTTATAAAATATACACCAATCAGCCATAACGTTAAAACCTCCTAATATTGTGTAGGTCCTCCCTGTGCTGCCAAAACAGCTCTGACACGTTGAGGCATGGACTCCACAAGACCTCTGAAAGTGTGCTGTGGTATATGGTACCAATATGTTACCAGCAGATCGTTTAAGACCTGTAAGTTGAAAGGTGGGACCTCCATGGACCGGACTTGGATCATCCTCGGTGGGCATAAGACAGATGTTCGATCCGATTGAGATCTGGGGAATTTGGAGGTCAAGTCAACACCTAGAACTCTTTGTCCTGTTCCTCAAACCATCGCTGAAGAATTTTTGGAGTGTCACAGGGTGCATTATCCTGCTGAAAGAGGCCACCGCCATTAGGGAATACCTGTGGTATGTGTCAAAGTTACATCCACTTGAATGCCAGGACGTAAGGTTTCCCAGCAGAACATTGCCCAGAGCATCCACCAACTCACCTTCTTCCCATAGTGCATCCTGGTGCCATCATTTCCCCAGGTAAGTGATGCACACACACCCGGACGTCCACATGATATAAAAGAAAATGTGATTCATCAGACCAGGCCATTTTCTTCCATTGCTCCATGGTCCTTTTCTGAGGCTCACATGCCCATTGTAGGAGTTTTTGGTGGTGTACAAGGGGTCAGCATGAGCACTCTGATTGATCTGCCGCTACGCAGCTCCATACACAGCAAGCTGTGATGCTCTATGTGCTCTATCTGAGCGGCTGTGGCGCAGTTGGTAGAGTGGGTTGTCGGTTCGATTCCCGGCCCGGGTGACTCTCCACATGCTGAAGTGTCCTTGGGCAAGAACCCCGAGTTGCTCCCGATGGCAAGCTAGCGCCTTGCATGGCAGCTCTGCTACCATTGGTGTGTGTGAATGGGTGAATAAGACACAGTGTAAAGCGCTTTGGATAAAAGTGCTATATAAGTGCACATTTTTATTTATGTGTTCTAACTCCTTTCTATCAGACCTATCAGAGCCAGTGTTAACTTCATCAGCATCAATGAGCTTTGGGTGCCCATGACCCTCTCACCTGTTCACCAGTTGTCCTTCCTTGGACCACTTTTGTTAGGTACTAACCACGGCACACCAGGAACACCCCACAACACCTGTCGTTTTGGAGATGCTCTGACCCAGTCATCTCGCTATCACAATTTGGCTCTTGTCAAAGTCGCTCAGATGCGTACGCTTGAACATTTTTCCTGCTTCCAACACGTCAACTTCGAGAATAGACTGCTCACTTGCTGTCTAATATATCCCACCCCTTGACAGGTGCCTATATTATTTCATCATCTATCAGAAATCAATGCTCTACGTTCGTACAGATTTTTTGCAAGCGTTATTTGTGTTGGTGAATAATCCTCTTATAAATTTTACATTATGAAGTGACAAAGAAAGTGGACTTGTGTGGTCATTCCAGAAACACATGCACATGCGTGATTGATCACACGCTTGTGTGCCATCAGTTGATAAACCTGTTCACATCGACCTGCAGTGCTTCGGATAGAGACAGAACCAGAACAGCCAAAGTGCACGTTTAACACACTCATGCTTTTGGCAGCCTCGCCGTAACTGGATCAAATGGATGCGACAGCTTTAAAAGATGCTGTCGTGCATCATACAACACAAAAACAAAACAAAGAACTATGGAGATGGGTGCGTAAAGCTTTCCAAAGGCTTCTACATTTCCTTTTAAACTAACCCCCCACTTTCTCCCTACAGTAACAGTCCCTGTTAGATCTTTCACAGCTTGTTTTAGCATGATGTTAGTGTGTTAGTTATCCTCTAGACCTTTCCTAGCTCACTCTCTCTCTCTCTCTCTCTCTGGTATTTGGGTCTGGGATTTGACTCCAGACTTTCCTGCCAGAACCTCTTCACCCCTGCTGGCATCCACATTAACGCTCTCAGTTCTCAGGATTAGACAACAGCAGGAGGTCTGCATTAGCCAATTATTGCTACATTCATGCATTATCCAGCTCTTAAACTGCTCATTTTTGCACACTGTCTAGACTCGAACAGTTGTTTGCGCTCAGCTCTTCTTTGAAATCTTATATTTACACTCATTGGCCCATTTATTTTGTCCAGTCACCATACAGGTCACGTTGTCCTCCGTTGCTGTGTAAATGGTCCACCACTAACCGTAAACGATTTGTTATTGTTGTGCTGGTGCTCATGGTAATTTTGCTCCAATCCAGCGTGATACGTAAATGAGGCCCGCTCTGTGTTAATCGTCCGTAACACTATTCCTAACCCCAGTGTTTATTCCCCAACCCTGTGGATGCTTCTTTTCTAATTAAGAGCTCTCAGAATGAAGAGGCTGTTGTTTGGGGTTTTTTTTACGATGTAGTAGCTGACCTCACATAATCTGTTTATCTACGGCTCTAAGATCCATCTCCTCGTGTGCCTGCTTGCTCTCTGTGTTGTCTATCCACACTCCTGGCTTATGATTGAGATTCCCCGTTGGCGTCTGCTTAAAGAGAGTTGGAGATCATTTCTTCTCTGTGTGGAGGGATTAGATATCTCAGCTATTCCTTAAGGCCGTGAGCACTGACAGATGTGCATGCGTGCAGTAATGGAAATGCGAAAACACAAGTCAAGAGAGGAGACTTGATACTCTGATGCCTTCCATGTCTCTTTCTCATTGTTTCCCTTCCGTCTCTTTTCGTCCAGAGCGGAGCAGATGAAGGAGTCGAATGCTAGTTCGTTTCCTGATCTGATCTCACATGCTTGTGCTTGTAGATGAAATCTTGACAATAAGACTCACTCTTTCAGCTGCAGTAAGAGATGTTTGCACATATATTTGCACAGCTGAAACTTGCAAAGTGTTTTCCTAGGGTAAACTATGGTAGACAAAATGAACGTGTGCTTATGGATTTACAAATGGTTGATTTATCCTTCAGCGATTAATCTTACCGTATAACAATAGTCAAAAAGTCGAAGCTCTACCCCATGGCCTAAGGACCCAGAGTTTAAGGTAACCGATATAGGC